TTGTCAAGGGTTTAAACAAACCCGTCGTTCTGGTAAACTGGCGAACTGGCATTAATTAATAAATAGGGTAAATTTCTTAAACTACCCTTATGGTTTTGCTAATTGATTAGTGTCCTTACTGTTTGAAAATTGACTGTCACTATCTTTACTGTTTCTAACAATTGTCTAGCTCTACCCTTACGTTAACTTTCCGTCAAAGACCGTTTTCACGTACCTTCATGTATTTGACATAATACCCAAAGTACCCTCTGCATTCTCGTCCATCAGATCAAATCGGCGCTTGGACAGGCAATATGAAAGGAGCAGATTTCTAAAGTAGAGAGGAGGGAGAGGGCAGCAGAGAACTCAGTCGGCCTGCGCATGCTCCGCCGTTCGGTAGTTGCAGCTGCCTTCCTTTACGGCAGAGATCTCCGTCACAGGTGCAACTGCCTTTTCTGTTCCTCTCAAGTCTCCCGTTCGGTAGAGATTGGATGCAAGGAGAGAACCGGAGACCGTCAGACATCTCCAGAAAAAAATGGTGAGATTTCAGACAAAGGTTCAAAGGGTCTGGGTTTTATAGGGAGACCGAGATTTCTTTGAAACCCACCCCACAAATCTTTAAGACCCTCTGCATTCTCGTCCATCAACCCAAATTGACCTCTACCCAGTTTCTTTCCGAGCATGTAATGAGCTTTAATATATTTGAAAGGCTTTTCCAAGATCGTATTTTGCTTATGAACAAGGGAATGAGAAGGCTTTACAGACGTGGCGGCCAGCAGCTGAGGCTGGTGCCTTTCGAGTAGTGGGTGGGTCTGCTAGGTAGGAATTTTGGGCTGCGCATGAACGACAGGCTCTTGTCTTCTCCGTTGATGCCTAACAACATTGACTCCTGATCTATGCCCGTTAACATCTGGCTCCGGCACCTAATAACATTCGCTCATGAACGACAGACCCTCTGCATTCTCGTCCATCAAACCAAACGGTGCTCGGACAAGCAATCTGAAAGGATCAGATTGAGAAGGAGGGGGAGGGCGGCAGAGATCTCCGCCCGCCTGTGCATGCTCCGCCTTCGGTAGTTGCAGCGATGTCATTGTTGGTGATGGTGATGGTGATGGCCGCATCGATGGATGGCGCTCCCTCCCTCTTTCGATGTGGCCATCTATTAGTTGAAATGGTCGCTGGCCATTTCCAATATTCCCCTTTCCCCTTCATCTCGTTGACGACTATTTCCAAACTGCTCTTATCCCCTGTTCCCTGGTTACGAAGGCAATCCTATTATCACCCCATCTTCTCATATTTGTTTTCTCTGTCTTTTTGGTTTCGTTCTTAGTCTGAAGTAATGAGCTTATTTTTATTTGATCGTTTGCTTCATTTAATGGCTGCTGTTAAATGATCTTTTTATTAAGTACTGTTAAATGAGCTTCTCGATTACATGGTAGACTTGATAATTCAGCATAAATAAGAGAAGAAACGAAAAAATCAACAAAGAGAATTATAGACCTTTAAGGGCTTGAATTTGGGTTGCTGAACGTGTGTGTTTGTAACTAATGGAGAGTAAATGTTTTATTTTGAAAATATGAAAAGAATAAAGGGTAAAATAGTCTTTTTTGTCTTTCTGTTAAGTAATGGAGAGTAATTGTGATAGTTTAAGAAATTTACCCTAATAAACATTGGTGCTTGAAATGAAACAATGCCCGCCACTTCTATTTCCATTTTCTTAAAAAGATCGATAAGAACTAAATTTTGCCAAATTGTTTAACTATGATTTGTTAACAGCTTGACCTGGTTGGACCATTTCTAGTTACAAATTTGAATAGTCTACTGAAGTTTATGCGTATAGAACAAAGGAACAGAATGGGCATTAATAAAAGAGGCATACCAGTACAACATATTTTTTTTTGTTAGCAAGTGCAACGTAATAACTCAACCAGTTCGGCATGTCGGTCAAGCCATTGGGCTTGAGTATTGATGGATTCTTGCCATTTAATGTTTCCCTCCAGATCTGGTTCTATCGTTCCAGTCTTCCAGATTTTCAGGTTGATAAAGAATTTGGAATCAGGACCGAAAGCATGAAACCTAATGTGTTGCATGAACAAAAGCATGAAAGCTATCCATGAGGCTTTGGAAGTGTGACAAGAACAAAAGAACGAGCAAATGTGAATCCAGAGCAATCCCTTGTTCTATAGGCGAGTAAAGAACTCGGATTCTATTCTTTCTTTTTAGCTTGTGACTCACGCTTGAATTCTCTCATAAATTAAAACAACCATGTAACAGAGCATACCACTCCTACAATAAACTATTTTCCTTCTCAAACCAATCTTTCCATCACCCTAGACATGGTACCCGAAACCAACAATCCCAAAAAGCCTGGCCTTTCACATGATAGTGAGAACCAGGGCGGTGTCATTGAGATGATCTCTGAATTGACACACCGAGTCATTGATCTTCAACACTTAAATAGACCTGGGTCCAGCCGCCATGTTCTTGATGAGGATGAACATGGTGCAAGTATCATCACCCTCGCGGGAAGCAACCTTGGAGCGTCCATGAATCAGACGTTGATAAGATGTCTGAACCAACCGACGAGGTATCAATAGGTGAAGGCGAGGCCATGGTTACTTACCCGAACAATAATTTCCAAGCCATTAATAACTCAATCATGCTAGTTGGGAGTTACAGCTCCAATGATCCGGGTGTTCACATGGACATGTCGGAACAGATTGAGCCTCAGGGTCAGCAGGGGCATAGGAAGGAGAGGAAGTATGGAAGGAAGGGAAAGAAAAAAGAAAGGGGAACTTTGATAAAAAGCAGCGAGAAAGTGGCATGAGAATTGCTGAGGAATGGTGAGTAGAATCCTTACGTATGCGTGTTTCTGAGCATGTTTTTATGTTTGTGTGGTGTGTTCTGTGTTGTGTGATACACAATAATTTTACATGAATAAATGCACTAACATCTGTTTATTAATACTTTTGAAAGATAACAAACTTAGTCGTGTTGCCTAAATCATTGTTTTTCGGCAAATATTTAGCTAGGTTATGTATTGCGGTTTCCATGCAAAACAATATTTTCTTTAGATTCATGGCAAGTAAAGTTTTTAAGGATGTTTTCCCTGTTTGAGGTCGTTGTGAGTACATGGGATTTTAGCTTTAAGGTGAAGCCGAATGATTTAGGCATCACTATGAATGTTGTAAGATAAAATTATTGAGCTGTGACGGCATCCGACCAACTGACATGTTAGCGACGGCATGCAGAGCTAATGGATCATCAGGGAAAATACAAATTAATCGTATTTTTCTTTTTCTAGAAGACAAGGAATCTCTGTCACTGTAAACAATCTGCTTTTTGAGGAATGGATTTCAAGATGTGAGCTTGGTGGTCACTTAAAAATCCAGTTTCTATGATTAGGGCTGTAATTCGATCGGATTCAGCAAAATTCGAATCTCATCAATTATTGAAAACTTGTATTGATCAGATTTGAAGGTATTGGATTCGAATTTGAATTCTAACAGATTTGGATTTAATCCGATATCACTTTAATTTTTAAAATACAAAAGTATAAAATTTAATTACTTTTCAATTTTTATATATAATAAATTAGTGTACTGAATTATTATATATAAATTCATATATAATATAATGTATAAAAATATTTTTACTATTTTAAATACAATTATATAAAATTTCTATATTAAAATCAATTAATATTATAATATAATTAGATTCGGATTTTAATTGGATCGGAGTCAAATTTAAATCTGATCCGATTATTAATCGGATGAAAATTGTAACATCCAAATCCGATCTAATTACATAAACACGTCATTCGAATTCAAGATAATTGGATGGGGTTGCGGATTTTTGAGTATCATTGACAGGCCTATCTATGATCTCCTTAGAGGGGAACTTGATCAACATTTTGGTGTGATACCCTAGACAAAACCATCCCAGAAAAGGAAGCGTTTTTCTATCTGATTTCTGTCTCAGTGGTTCAACAGTTCAGGATGAAAGGATCGACCCATGACATCATATAGGGTGTTCAGAAGATGTTATATTTTATAGTTCTAATGTTGCATTAATATGGTATAGTTAATAAATGGATAAATTACTAAAACCTCTATTTAAGTCAAGTAGACCCCCTTTGTTAAAATCCTTTAACAAGAGGCATGAATATGTCCAAAACAGACATGTAGTTACTTTGACCAAAGTGTTTATTTTCCAAATTTTTCTCTTTATATTGATTGATACTAAGCCCTTTCAATCTCTTTTCCAAAATTGATTTATTTTCCAAATTTGCCCTTCATATCAATTGCTCAAAGGTAAAACTATAACTTTAAACTCTTTCTGTTATTCATAAAGTTTGTATTGCTTTTATTGTAGAAACCAACCTCAATGGTAATTGCATGGGTATTTTAGACATTTCTATATCTCTTGCTAAAGGATTTTAATAAAGAGAGTCACATTGCAACTATGTCAGAAAATTCAGGGGAGGTGTTTGCAATTACCAAACTTAAGAGGTTTCAACAATGGTGACTTCAGGGGAGGTTCAGCAATTTACCCTTCATAAATAAATTAATAATGGCTAACTTAGGACTGAGAGAATAGAGATAGATAGGCCACAAATTTGAAGAGAGAGAGAGAGAGCAAAAGGGAAAAATTCCAGCTTTATCATTAAATTTAGAAAACATAGTAGAAAACAACGTTTTAAAAAACGACCCGGAAACAGAACTGTTCTGGCCATCGGTTTCCAAGTCAATGGTTCAACCATCCGGTCCGAATGGACGAACCGTTCTGACAAATAAATTAAAAAAATAATTTAAAATTAAAAAATGGTCACAAACCGTTGAACGGGTCAACGGTTCGATCGTCTGGGTCAATGGTTTATTGACTTTTTCAACATTTTTTTGACCAAAATCGAGTTTTAGGTAAAACAAAACTGGTTGCCTAGACGGTTCCCAGGCTGAACGGTGGTTCAAAAACCTTGGTAGAAAGTTGTGTACCATTGACTATTTGCCACTTCTACT